GAAAAATGTACTGCGGATAAAGTGTCTGAATACATTAAGTCAATGTTAGAAACAAGTAGAGAATTGTGGAGGAAGTTTGGGCGAGAACGGCGAGACATAACAAAGGAACTTAAAAAAAAATGACGAGTTGAATGCCGTCTTCGCTTCTTCATTAACTTTGTTTTTGCGAATCTGCACTGACTTGTTACGACTACCATTACTGTGATATCAGAAGTGTATATGCAGAAAAGCAGAGCGTAATTATTCAGCGTGCTCAGAGATTTCCTCAACACCCCCGCCTCGTCCTTCCGAGAGCAGTCAGCACATCCAGCTTCAAACATTTCTACAGGGAGGAAATAAGTCAAATGAAGCAAATAGAAAACCTAACAAAAGGAAAAACACCTTTGAATGTTTGTTTCTGTTGCTACTTCCTCTGTGATGGCGATCTCACCTCTCAGCTTTTCACTGGTTAGAGAGTATCTTCAATGAAGTAAGGTGGGTCAGGGACTATGAGATGTGAGGGTAAATCCTTCACATCAGAAATCATTATTGTCCTACCCCCCACTTCCCTTAGATCTGTAACTGCTCAACCTGTGTAATTTATTCCTTTCCCGGCCACGTCGGGAGCCTGTGATCTCACTTTTTTAGAAATGCCGAAGGATGTATTTATTGCTACAGTTATATTTGTGTACCTTTCATGTGTCACTTTTTTGGCAAAGATGCTCTCATGTTTAAATCTCATCTGCTCACGGAGATTATAAACTCCTTGAGGGCTGGACCGTATCTTAGGCTGATTTTTCTCCTTGTGGCCATATGCTACATATACTCGTGGGTTCTCAGTGGGTATCTGATGCCTGACCGATGCTACGCTTGGGCCCTCTTTTTCATGTGGGTTTGTACGCATGGGTTTCTCTTGTCCAGGGGCTGTGCGGTCGCCATTTACTGGACGTTTCCGCTGGCCACAAAAGAAGCGTGAGATGCTGGGTCCTCTGTCTGGCTGGACTCTCCCCTGTCTCAGTGATTTGGTGTGCCGAAACCCGGGACTGTTCGCATTTGAAGCAACTCCGGGTGTCTTCTGCTGGGAGTCCGGGAGACATTATGCTCTTGCCTATAAACTCTCCCTGGATTTACAACATCGCCTGGCTCGCGCTGGTGGCCTGGCAGGGGTGGGGATGGGGAGATGAGAACAGATGAAAAAGAAGTTCCTTGGCTTGCTGTTTGATCTCACTTCGCACTTTCCTGCAGCCAAATCCAGAGAAATGAGGAAACAGTAGACACAGTTTGGGGGTTAAACCTCATTTTCACAACGGATCGGGGCTCTCTGGAAGTCTTTAAGTGTTCTCTGTCTACAGGTAAATAAAAACAAATGGAGAGGCAGTTACATTTCCTTTTTTATCTCCATTTGGAAATAGACTTAAGGTACTACCGTTGACCTCAGCCTATGAATGTCATCTGAACAATTTTCCAGACTCTCGCTTTTAATTTTAAAGCCAATCTTTGAGTGGGAATGTTCAATCACAACATGCAGGTAACAAATAAGCAAACAGACAAGGTCGGATTTATCAGCGAGTGTTCAGGCCATCTGCTAACAGTTCCAGGTATCTGATTCCAAAGCAAACATATCATATAGCTATTAGGAACCCCTAGAGGCATTTAAGCTAAGTGAAAGGCCAAGCAATGATCTGGGATACAGATTGCCACTGTAGTCAAAGTCACTAAAATTTCTAGAGGTGGAAATTTCATTTTGTGACTTTGGCATTACATTATTTATCATGGTTTTTCCCTTTGTGAAGTTTTATGGACAGGACGATTATTGAATTGGATATACAGATAAAACTCATAATGACAGTGATTACTGTTCGCTCCCTGCTTGTCGCCGGGTATTTCTGGAATATTGACTGGCCTCTCTGATCTAAAAATCCCTTCCAGCTCCTGTGAGCACAGGCAAATCAGCCAACTGTACCTCAGTTTCTGTGTTTGTAATAAGGCGATACGAAGCCATTGATTTATTCAATATTGCTATGTTTGTGATACACCAAAACAGAGTATTCCTATGGTCAGTGGTAGTAGCCATTTACTCAGAAGAAGTCTCTGGGAGAAATACCTAGAATCCTAATTGCACGGTGAGATAAAACAGTGTTCATCTGCACCCCACTGCTTCAACTTCATGTGGATTTGGTGGAGATGGGGGGTAGGAAGGGCTATTTGACTTATAAGAGGTATTACCTTAGAGGAGATTGTAGTACAGTGAGTTTGTAGGAATTTGCCCAACTGAACTCAACCTGTTTTGTTTTGTTTTTTCTTCTTTACTTGTTTGTTATGTAAACTTCTGCGTTAGGCAGCCTGGATAACTTTGTCTTCTCTACCAAACATCAGAACTTATTAATTATTGTGATGTGGGGTAGTTGGACACCGTTTTCTTAATCAAATAGTGACAAAAAGATAATCATTTTCCTAAGACATATTTCTTGACGTTTCTTGGCTTTGCAATGAATATTATTTTCAGTTCAGAAGTAATAATCCCGAAAAGAAAGCACTAGATTTTTTTGTAACTGCTCCTTTCTATCTCACTCAAAGCAACATACTCTTACCAGCTTTTGTCTTTAGAAGCTGCGTTCTTGGACTCCTACCCGAATATCTATACAAACACACACACTGCTTAGGCTCCCATCTACACGATACACCAAATTCACTACATTGGGCTAGATTCTCATGAGATGCCAAGTAGCTGGATAATTAGATATCATTATGTGACTGCATAATTTTCTCTTTCATTTAACATTGTTTAGCAGTTTTGGGTGTTTTTTTTTTTTTTTTTTTTTTGACCACTATGTTTGAGGCTCTTTGCTTATAATTTCTGTCCTGGATACTTCCCTAAAGCTTGTGAGACTGCTTTTAAAAATATTTGCGTATGTGTTTGTGCACGTTTGAACTGCACAGCAACTCCTGGTGGGTTGTGCTATCTCTAAATCTATACACCAGACCTCAGAAAGTCTCCAAGGAAAGAGATCGCTGTGCTTCTTGGAGATACATAATAGAGATCGCTCTCTTTCTTCATTTGGGGCATTTTGTTATTTCCAGCACTGAATCTATTCAAATTAAGTTGGATTTCCCAAACTTGCTTGATCATAAGCAACGCCTGCAATGCTTACAAAACTGTATATGTTTGGGACTCCTTTTTAGGGATTTTGATTCCTTGGGTCTAGGGCGGTGCTCAGTCATGTGTATTTTCAACAAACATCCTGGGAGATTCTTAGACTTAAGCAGGTTTGAAAAGTGTGCCTACCGAATAAAGACTGGAGTCACTACGTTCTCAGGAACAAAGTAGCCACAGAGAATTCAGCTGATTAATTGAGTTAGCTTTACAAAATCATTTTGTAGCTTCAAATAATGTTTAAATAAAAAAATTAAACAGCCTGCACATGCCACCAAATTGGGGGAAAAGATCCTTTCCTTTTGGTCTTTGTGAAACCATTATGTTCTTAGAAGACGATCCAGCGACAGAGTTGGGAGCCCTAAGACCATGGTGGTGGCCATCAGGGTCACCGTAGGCGAAACAGTCCCAGACTGGTTGTCAAAACACCACCCAGTTCGCTCAGTCGCTTGCCTCGCGGTCCAGGTTTCTGGCAGGAAGAGACTCCCCGACCACCGTCCGGCTCCAGGGACAATGTTCATACTTGGTTGAGCGGGCGGAGCGTGGACCCTCCCTGGGGGGGTGCCCAGGGAGGTGCGCAGGGTTTTCATTCCACTTGTGAGAGTGCACAATTAGAATGGCAGAGGGGGAAGTGACTGTGCCTTCATGGGTGACCTCGCGCATCCTGAGCTGCTGTTTTCACCCTCCCTGGCCCTCCCTCTATTGTGAAATCACGGCCCAGCTCGTTTTTCTTGCCCGGATCCACCACGGCCAGGCCCACGTACGTGGAGACCAAACCGACTTCCTTAAAGTGCGCAAAAAAAAAAAAAGAAAAGAAAAAGAAAAAGAAAAAAGTTGACTGGATGTCTTCTCCTCCGTTTTCACAATTTTATTAGTCTTTAATAAGCGTTTTCTCAGAGCTTGGCAGTTTCCGAGTGTTTTAAAATCATTTTTACTAGCTACTTCGAACCCACACCTGTGTGGTAAGTCTGTGCTTTCAGCCATGTTTTTACAGGAGGTGTGGGACCCAAAATGAAAAGGAAGACACACAGAATTTCACTCTGAGGCTCCGTCCCTGGCTCGAAACCACAGGGGCAAAGGAAGGACCTGCCTGCTTATTCATGTTCTGCATTATATAAGCGGTAGAAGGGAGGTGGTTCCAAAATACAGAAGCTTTCATTTTGTTCTGTTTCCAGAAAGAAAGCTTCCTCGGAAATATGACTTCCAGTAAGTTTAGGAAACCGGAGTCTGCCCCTTCAGGTTGACTGTATTGCTTGAAAACAAAACAGAACGAAGAGGCCGACAGAACTTTGTAGAAACTGCTATGCAAATTCCAGTTGCTGAGAATCCCTTCGGCCGTGGGTCTTTGCGGTTCTGACGCATCCCTATCATGATATAATGATGTGTGTACCTTTTCTTTACATGGAGGTCGTTTGATTTACAGAAATGTAGGCTCGTGATTAAGATCTAGGAATTTTCTTGGGGAACTTTCTGAGTCTCCAACCCTCTCCTGGAACGACTCCTTCACATTTGGCCTACTGGAGCTCTCGCAACAACTAATTCTCGCAATTCCAAAGTGAGTTCTGAACAGTTCATTACTTAACCCTTCTCTAACTCAGTAGCCTTCTCTAGTCACTTTATCGCGTCATTTATTGGGTATTTGGGAACACAACCAGAGGATCCACAACCGTGAGATGAAGCTGTTAGCACTGAATTAATAAAGAATATACTCACGTAAGGTGACTGCTCTAGTGAAATGTATACGCTTATAAAAGCATAGCTTTTCTTTCCCCTCCGATCGATAATTGAAAAATGAATTGATAGTTCCTTGCTCATTAGGAAACGTTTCAATATTAAACAATATTTTGACAAATGGAGAAGACTCGAGTTACATAAAGATTTGTGGAATTATTTTATTTGCACACACGTGTATTGCTACTTTATTTTTACAGGCATATATATATATTTTTTTACAAAGTAGTAATGCGATTTTCCTGACATTGGAGGGTGAATTTATCTCTCTGCCTTAGCTGGACTGAATTTAACGTTACTTCTTATGCTCTACCTTTAATGTATACGGTTATAAAACACACAGTCCAGCAAAAGGGAGCCCAAGTCAATAAAAAACTTCCAGTACATGGAATTAATGAAAATGGAAAATATTTATTTATGGTTAATACCTTGTTAATTGAGGGAATTGATTTCCTTCCTCAAGGCAAATATAAAAATTCATACTTAAGAACACGTATTTTCTTTTTCTATTCACTGTGAGTCCACAGCCCAAAAACACGCAACACATATTTTTTTTGTGAGAAATATGAAATTATGTGCATGCATCTAACTAAAATATATGACAAAATAGATTCAACATTTTTTTAAGGTTTGCAATGCAATCACACATACTATTATACGTGTTCGCATATTTTTCTTTACTTTGTTCTGATAATGTTTTTGCTTCATACTTTCTAAAAATGTTTTACCTTTATGCCAAATTACGCACTTCAAAATGATGCAGTAAAAAGTCCTTCTGCATTTTAGCAATTACTCCATTGAACAACTTTTGGAGGGGTAGTGTGAGAGAAGATCATTTCGCCCAAAGAGACTGAAAATAATAAACTAAATAAATAACTCAAGAAGCTAAAATTTCTTAAGTGGAGTTTGGTGAGAATTGTAAATTAAACAGAGCAAGTATCGTTCCATGGTAACTTTTACATCAAGTACGTGGCACTGACATCAATTGTTCTTTTTTGTCTGTCTCTGTCTTTTAATTAATGTTGATCCTCACCATTAGTATCGACAAATTGACGTTTGTGCCATACTGTCTTGTCACAGAACTTTGTGTATCAGTGGATGGGCCTGGGTGCTGGTGGCCTCTTCTCGTGCTGAGATCTCTTCGCAGGCAGAATGCAACTCTTCTGCCGGTTTGTGAATCACGGCTTAGGTTTCGCAACTTTGCGATTTCTTCTGTGGCAGAACTTTCGAAACTGTCTTTTGCAGCAAACACTCAACGGCAGTATCTCTTTTGTTTCTTTCTGTTTAATTAAACGGGGAAAAGAATGAGAGAAAAAAACAGAGGAAGCCAACTATCTTGTAAAAAATAGATGATTTCACTGCAACTGGGATTGGCCTGTGTCGTATCTTCTAAGCTCGTCGCTGTACGGCAAGGGGAAGGGTTTTAGCTGTGAAGTAGTGATTTCTCCAAATACTATGGGATCCAGCAGTCAAGTGCACCATCCAGGAATGACAGTGATAAAGATGTAATTAGCCATCGTTACATCATTGTAGTCAAGTTTACTGTACTGCCTAGGAATAAACACATTTCTGTTTTTCGGTATCTTTGAAACTCAGGGCCAGTCTGTGCGAGTCAATTGCTTAGGCAGGTCTTTAGAACGAATGCTCGTTTCCTAGGGCAAGAGGATCAGACTGGGAGAGTTAATTTACCTGTGGTAATGAGCCTGACGGAATGAATCCAAAATGCTAACCGTGTATGCAAGGAACACAGAATGGAAAGTGTCAGCGACCAAGGTGGTAGCAGTGATTCAAAACATACATATCAACGCTTTACCCCCGGAAAGAAACACACAGACCCCTTCCAAAAATTCAATCTCAAGACATGCAAACAAAGAGAAACCCAAGACTCACAGTTCATTGGAATTCACAAGGGAACGTTTTCGGGACGAATGGTGCTTTGACGTTGTCTAACCGATGCAGAGGGAAGCCAAACCTGTTTTTAATTGCAAAGCCAAATGGTTTATGCATGGGCTCTGCCATGCTTGTGAGAACATGTTGCTTTTATAGCCCCCTCCTCCTCCGTGAACGCGAGACGAGGCTTGCCAACGCTGTGTGAGTATAGTCACATTTAAAATGAGAAGCCTCGCAGGTGTTTTTAAAGGGAGGGGGTGTCAATCTGTCAAAGGTGTCACTCTAAGTGGATCTATCTGCCTATCTGTTACCACTTGCTAATTATGGATTTGGGTGATAATTGTCATAAATCTTGCTATGGAACGTGCAATAAAATGCTTGTTCTGTGGGTAGAGGGTGATGTGCAGAGGGGGATAAAGCTAGAATCTCAGGGCTTGTGATCAACAGATCACAAAGCCTGTGCTGTAGAATCGTTTCACTATTCAGTATTCCGATGAATACACATATTGTTGCATCCGTCAGGCTGCTCCAGGTAACATCGCTGGCATTCCATTATAGGAATGGAGAGCGTACACAGAACAGAGTCTGTAGAGAATATTCTCTCCATGTGGCCAGAAAGGGCCTTCAGAAATACTCTGTCCTCATTAAGGCCATCCTAGAGAAGACTAAGAAAGAAAATCGAATAAATGACTAGCGAAATAAGGAATTTTCTTGTGTTCGTAAGAAGCAGACCAATCACTGCAAAGTTAGATCCTGGAAAAAATTTTGAGACAGGTCTGAAATACTCATTGTTCCAAAGATTACTTACAGGCAAGGACGAGAAAAGCCGGAAAAGGAGGCCCTCGGTCTGTAAAGAAAAACCTATGCTCTTTGGCAAAGAGTTGGCATTAACAGAAAGTGGAATCTGAAAATAGTTTTTGCTTCTGTGTCCAGTTCTTCAAGTCATTGCCACCAGCACCTGCTGACTCATTAACTGCCACCGTCACCTTATCTCCTTTGAATCTCGGCTTACTTTACCCTCATCAGCTGTCATCTGGCCCCCCCCCCCCCACAGACACACACACAGCCTGTGGCTTTAAATATTAATTTTACAGTTTGCAACATGAGTCCGAGTGTTGAGTTCAGGAAGTCCACTGTGTCATTAGTGAAATAAATTGGTACCTTTTTCTGATACTCTGTGAAAGAGTGTTAAGTTTTCTGAGGGACAGTAACTTATTAATCTTCTGTTCTCAAAGTAGGTGCTCACTAAATATTGAGAAATAAAGGATTTTTCCTAAAAATGCCTTCTTAAAATTCTGCTCTGAGAAGTGGAATTTTAAGAGGAAGCGAATCAGGGGACCCTCTGGCCATCAGAGGACCAAGGGTATTCCTGGACATTGATGCTTACTACTCTTAAGGTAATTAAGCCAGCAGCTCTTGGCCTGCTAGAAGGGAGACCTAAAATAAAAGAATATAGTCCCCACCTATAAGTATCCTATGCTCAGATTCAGACCACAGAGTGTAGCCTAATTGTCTACTGACGCATAAGTACATTTAACAAAATTCGTTGGCCACGGCTTGGTAGTGACCGGTTCATACAACTCCAGAGCCTAGAGCATTCTAGCCCAGCATTCCAAACAAAATGTTCTTGGGTTACTCACCCCTTTGCCCCCTGCCTACTCTATGTACACAGATTGGTATAACCACGAATAAGAACAAACTCACGTACATACCTTGCTTACATTTTTTCCCCAGCCTAGGGTGCCTATTCTTTACTTATCGTCATAGAGTACAGATGTTTATTTCAGGCTCCAGTGCATCCACCGAATCTTCTTCATAAGAGAAGCACGGTACGTAGTCATAGTGCTTAACCTATTCACTAGCTCAGGGAACAGGTGCTTTATAGGCGTCTCTGCTCTTTGGCTGCTCTTAACTAAACATTCAGAGGATGTAACACTGATGGGACACCTAATAATATAAACTTCTTGAAGACAGGAATAGTAATAGTAAAATCAGTTATGTATTATGGGTCCACAAAATACCTGGCAAACATGATAGGAGCAACGTGCGTATGTCACAACTCTACTATCCGAGGATACTGTTATCACACTATTTAATAGAATGAGGAAACTGAGACTCAGAAAACTTGACTCGTGTGGCCAGGGCCATGTGCTAGAGACCAATCTGGGTACGAAACTCTGGTCTGTAAACCTCTATCCTGTTGTTTGCGTCTTCCATTTCTCTCTGAGATAGGAGGCAGGGCAGACAGAGAGGTGCCGTAAGATGAAGAAAGGGGTCTGTTCTTGGTTGCTAAGGAGTACGTCTTAGGTAGAATCAGACGATTTGCTCTTGTATTTAGTTCATTGGGATATTGAGAAGACAAGAAAACAGTTTACTCCTCTACAATTAGGGACCAGGGGAGAAAGGGTTTTATTATGTATGTGTGAGGACGTGTGTGAAGGGGGATGAGAAGGTGAACCCTGGGAGGAGATGTAACTTAGTTTAACCATGTTTCTCAGTGACCGCCATCTGCCAAGGCCCTGTGCTCAAGGTCTGGACCTGACAAGATGAATGGATGACACAGGGTCCTCGTCCTCACCATCCAAGAACTACTTATCAGTCTAAGGAGGAAGAAGAACTATAGAAGCCAAGCCAGCGTAGAATAGGAAGTGATCTAGCGGGGTTCCCTGAGGACTCTGGGAACACAGAAGAAGGTGGTTTAGTGCAGCCAAGGCGTGAGAGGTATAGGGAGTGAGTAATGGTTACGAGGGATCCAACCACTCCAAAGCAGTGGGACAGTCACTGGTCTCACCTCCCCAAACACACCAGGAGTTTTCTAGGCTAAGTGGTGACTCAGGACATACAGGACAAATTCGAACAAGAAAGGGGAGCCTCAGAAACACCCTTGCTCACAGGCACATGGGGCGTATCAACTAGGGTTGGCTACATCATTTGCAGACTCAGTGCAAAATAAAAATGTGGGCCTCTTGCTCAAAGAACAGGAAAGAAGTGCCATTAAAGGCATTAAAATATAAAGCTCTTTTTCTGTTCTTCCACACACACACACACACACTCTCTCTCTCTCTCTCTCTCTCTCTCTCTCTCTCAACGAGCCATGCTGTTTTTGGCAATTGAATGTCATTCTAGGTAAAGAAAACTTAAAAATTTAAGCTGTTAGCACGCGTCGCACAATTCATCTTTATATTGCGCGATGCCGTTTTTGATGCAGATATAAGAGCACTGAACTCGTGTTCACAGAAATCACACAATGCCTATTCCAGCATATGTAGTTTATTCTGAGCAAAAGTGGAAATGCTGCACAAGAGTAACTCAGCTGTTTTTATTTCACTTCTCCATACGTGCACCTTCTAGTGATGCAACGTGCTTCCCTTGTGCTCTCCTTGAGTCTCTATGAATTCCACACATCGAGGGTCATGGGGCATCACGAATGCTATTCATGAAAGGGGCAAGAAGGCACGGAGGAACAATCTGTGTATTTCCTCTGCTCACACATATTCGTCATTGTCTCGTTGGATTTCACGTACAAAACATCCGTCCAAAGAGAAAATTCTCAAGAGTTTCAAGACAGCGGCAGCAAAGCGTTAAATCAAGCACAAGGTCCTTCTGAGCACAGGGTGTGGGCTGATTGCACAAGTTGCTAGCCCCAAAGCTGGCCTTGCTGTCCACACAATTTCATCTTAGACAGCAAAGCAACGTCGAAAGATCAAACAGGAATTCTCTGCTCTTTGACTCGGGCTGAGAGATCAAGCATCCTCCATCTTGCAAAAGTCCAAACCAGGAAAACAACCTGATTATTCAAAAGGAAGGAAAAATCATTGCCCACAATTTATTAGCGAGAACTTGAACAGGAGACCAACTGGAGTGCACACACAGGTCTGAGCCTCTTGTCCATCCCTAGGTTCTCTGCACCTAAGGCACAAATTTTTCCTTATGGCTGGTAATAAAGAAAGTTGTTTTTTTTCTGGGAGCTCAGAGGACAAGGAAGGGACCCTGGTCAGTGATGGAAAGGGAACTCGAGAAATATGTTACTCTACTTCCTTTTCCTCAAAAAAAAAAAAAAAAAAACAACGCGCTTGTGTAAGTTGATCTTCCTCCTGTGCTACACTGCCAACTACCTGGGCAACTGTCCTGGGCAACTTTTGGTTCAGTTTCTTCTTGGCCAATCATTCTCCTGAACTTCATGCCCAGTATACTGAGCGTTAAAAATCTGGTGTTCTGGCTCTCTCCCACTCTAACCTCTTTTTTTTTTTTTTTTCCTTCCCCTCCCCCATGGGCTTCTGTTAAGTTTCTCAGGATCCACATAAGAGCGAAAACATATGGTATCTGTCTTTCTCTGTAGGACTTATTTCACTTAGCATCACACTGTCCAGTTCCATCCACGTTGCTACAAAAGACCAGATTTCATTCTTTCTCATTGCCACGTAGAACTCCATTGTGTTCAAATCCAAGTTGAGAGCTGTCCTTGAAGAGCCCATGATTTTATTAGCTGTTCCTTCTCTTGTCGTGAACTTTTCCTAGAACATTGAGCAATCAGCTTCGTATTCTACATTTTGAGAAGCAGCAGGGTCTGATCTTAGTAATAATGTAATATTTAATTATATTTTTATTTTTTTTTCAACGTTTATTTATTTTTGGGACAGAGAGAGACAGAGCATGAACGGGGGAGGGGCAGAGAGAGAGGGAGACACAGAATCGGAAACAGGCTCCAGGCTCTGAGCCATCAGCCCAGAGCCCGACACGGAGCTCGAACTCACGGAGCGCGCGATCTTGACCTGGCTGAAGTCGGACGCTTAACCGACTGCGCCACCCAGGTGCCCCATTTAAAAGATTTAATTAATATTTGTTAAATGCTTATTGGGTACCGGGTGCAGTGCTAAGCATTTTACACAAGTCAGTTCATTCGATAACAGCCACTTCATGAGGTCGGTATAATTGTTAAAACTATTTTAAGGGCCAGGGTTCTTCAGTCGGGGTTTGAATCTTGGTTTGGCCATGTATTAGCTGGCAGGCCATGCACAACTCAACCTCTCTGTGCCTCGTATGTTACCCTAAATGAGAAAATACTTAGAATACTAGGCTTAGTGGAGGCACCTGGGTGGCTCCATAGGTTGGGCATCTGACTTCGGCTCAGGTCATGATTTCACAGTTTGTGAGCTGGGGCCCCGCGTCAGGCTCTGTGCTCACAGCTCAGAGCCTGGAG